AAGAAGCTTATCAAATCCATCTCATTCACCTGTCGTTTTCTTCACGAATCAATATAATTGCGGTCGAAAAATAATGCAATGAAACGAAAAAAGAAAATAAGATGACGGAAGATCGAGTTTCGAGAAAGTGTTACCTGAAACCGAGAACAAGGAATACCTACTTTCAAAAATTATTTAACTATCGTTCCGAAACGAAAACTGCAATTAATAATAATGTCTGTATAATGAGAGCAGTTAAACGTGTACAGTACGTGGTCCGTGACTAAGTAATAATCGCTTATATTCTACATTTTTTATTTTGCAAACTTCAACGCGTTTTTTTTAGAAATCCTCAAGAAGTGTAGAAAACAGTTGAAATATTTCGACACTATTTAAAGCCTTTTCTTTCTTCCTCAAGGTCCAGATGTAAGAATATATGCTGATTCTATGAGCTTACGTCTTTTGCAATGGAGTTCAACTCGATGTACAGCATCTGATTAAAAATATGTTCTGACAATTTTTATCATGTTGATTATCTACACACATCGGAAAAGTTTAGGGATATTTTTATAACATACTAAATATCATAAAAATAAATGCATGAGGTCGTTAACTTGGTATATTTCCAAAAATATTTATTTAAGTACGGAAGCTGTCAAAGATGCTAATTGATGTTGAACAGCTTCTGCATCAGGATAAGACTTGACAGAAATCGACTAATTTTGATGATTAAGAAAAACTACATCAGGCTTGAAGAAGGGCGATAAGACGCGATCTATACGATTGACAGATAACTCTAATTCATTAGGCTTATAATCTTTTATCTCTTCAACGTTCCCTTATGTAAGGTAAAACCAGTGCTACAGTGATACCACAAGAATTTAACAAAGCACTTGTAACCCCGGATATAGAATGTTTTTGCGAATGGTAAGAAATGCCAAAAAGAATTAAATGACCCGTAGACCCAGCTGAAATTCGGTTTGAGCAACTGAGTCTTGATAGACCGTGGTGTTGAAGTGACCATCTTTTGATGCCTTGGGGTCTGTAGTCAGTCTCAGCTAGGACAAAAGGTTACATGTTTTCATGAGTTGATATCTTTGATGCTTCTTTCAAGCACTGGCCGTTTCTTATGTACATCAAAACTAGTATTTTTCGGCTTTCTGCTGGATACGTTCCAACTGCATCTCTTAAAGAAGTTGAGATGGTGACAACTTGGAAGGCTATATCTAGGACAATCTCAGTATATAAATTCCAACAACTCAAATGTTAATGTCTTTTCTGTTGCCATAGTTAGCCTGTTGCCATGCATCCTCAAAAGGAGTTTGCCAAAACAAACTCTTTTTGAGGAAGCATTATTTCAAGAGTACCATTGGAAAAATTCTATAAAAAGGTAGAGGGAGCTCCTATTAGTTCCTCTCTATCACCAGTTATTGCAAACTTGTTTATAATACATTTCGAGAAAGATGATTTAATCACCCTCTGGCCCCATGGACAACAAAAATCAGAGGAATTTGTGACTTTTCTCAAAGAGCCAACAAACTAAGTAGCAGAATTGCGCCCCAAAAAAATGGCTACATACCATAAACCATCAAAATAGCCATTGATGAACTTCGAATAAACAGATCGGGAGAATATTGAGGCAATAAAATATCCAAATCTTTTACAAACTATAAACTACGATATCGCGATCACCACCTAGACCATAAAATGTCTCTACCAGCTACCGTGCCTCCATTGGATAACATTAAGGACACAATATACAGGGTGGGCCATCAAAAACTTGACATGGAGGTTTTGAGTATATTATTCTTGCAAATCCGAAAAAATGCTCAAAAAGGTCGATTTTTATGGGAAGGGGGACAGTTTTTCCCCATTTACAACGTCGTCACTTCAACCACCGAGCAACCCTTGGAATTTTAATAGGGAACTGGGGGCGAGTCGCACATCGTTTGAAAGATCTTGGAATTCTCTAAACGACAGTGTACATTTTGTTGAATTTGGACGAATCATATTAAATTTAGAATTTGAGTTACTTACTTTATTCTCATGTTAGCATATGCTCAAAATGGGCACCTCCTGCTTCCATACAGTAATAGAGATTCTGCTGGAAGTGTTCTCGAAAATTGTGGGGCATTTCTGGAATGATTTGGCGACATTCATTTGTGATTCGTTGCCGTAAATCTTATAGTGATGAAGGAGTAGTACAGTAAATTCTGCTTTTCAAATAACCCCAATGGCCCACCCTGTATATCCTGTAGGTTTTTCTAAAGGAATTTATAATGAAGATATTCGTAGTCTCAAAAATGTGATGAACAAAAATATAAATACAAAAGAAAAGTCCAAAATGAATTTATAAAAGCCATCAGAAACCAAAGTTGTTGGGGATTGTTGACTATTATTGTGATTACATAGAAAAAATTTGTCAATACACTCACTCACCTTGACTTCCAGCAGGTTCGGGATCGCTATCCAAACTTTCCGCAGATGCCAAATACGCGGATCCGGGTTGATGATGGCCGCTACTTCCGCTCGAAGAACAGGAACCAAGACTCGTCAGAGACACCGGTCGGGATACTTCTGAGGATGTCGTACTATTAGTGTTACCCGTGCTGCTTTCACTTGGAACCTGCGAAGAAAAAAATACACTAAGAATATAAAGGAAATATAGTTTCATTTGATTCGAGAAAAGATTGAATGTGATGATATTAGATTGAAATGTTCCTTACGTTCTTCTGTTGGTCTTACTTAATATTCTCCTTCGAATTCATAAAAAATATGTTGTTTTACCAGGAGCTAATAAACGAAAAAATGAGCTTTATGATGTTTTGTGAGCTGAGAAATGACTTGTGAATTTACACTGACTTCTTTTGACCTTCCGATCTATCAAGAAAGGATATAAATCTAGAAAACTCAAAAAAGCACGGTCAGGAATTTTCTCATATATTTCTTGAACAATATATATGCAGACCTCGCAGCCTCATTACATTGGTAATAAACGAGGAAATAAAATCAAGTAACATACATTGAATGAGATTCAAGAATAATGTATATAACTGAAAAACATTTATAGATTAATTGCATAAAATTCTTTGTTTGAGTTTGGGTGTTACGTGTGTGATTATAATGTAATAACTGTCAAAAATTGGCTATTCATCATTTCGTTGAGAATTTCGCAAAATGTTATATCAACACGAGAATAATTTCCTTGTGGTATTCCATGTTTGTTTGTCATTGGATAATTTCGATGGTGTTTTTGTAACTTTGTATATATTTGTGTGCGCAGAATAAATCTAAAACAAGCACTCTTTATACATAATTTGAAAAATCTGTATCTCTCTATCTGTAGACTAGAGGGTGGGTGTAGGCCCACAGTACTTAGGCCACATGTGACCCATTGTACATCCTCCCGAGGAGTTGTCCTCCTAGGTCATCGTCCATCCTGTCCTTTCCAGGAAGGTGGGAGACATCTCCTTTATATCGGCAGGTGTAGACCAAGGCTCGCCGAACACACACTCTCTCATTGACGATAACTCCGGACACTCGCATACGACATGCCTGTTCACACATCCTGCACATCCTGCACACATCACACATCTTCCTGTTCACACATCCTGCATAGAGGTGTGTCGACTAGCCTCATATAATGGAGGTGTTTCCTTAGTTGACAGTGGCCAGTCAGAATTTCTACTGTTAAGCGTAGATTTTTCCTGGTCATCGCCAGATATTTCTTCGGCGCCAGCTTCCCAGGGTCACCCTGGATGATCCTCGCTAGCTTGCATCCTTTGATTCTATCCCATCTGTTTAGGGATGCCGTTTGGCTATTTTCCCAATTGTCATCATGCCGTAGGTGCCACTAGGTCCTAAAATTCCTAGTCCAGCCGCTTTTTTGTCTAAAGTGTCAGCAATGCGATTACCTTTACTCCTGTCTAGTCCTTTAATTCACCTCAGGATAATGTTATTATCTATCGAGGCTTTGGCTAAATCTTGGTGGCACTCTAGTAGTAGCCCTGAAGTAAGTAGCCTTGTTTAAAGCTAATAGGGCTTGTCTGCTATCAGAGCACATTGTTATGTTTTTGCCAGAAATTCCTTTCGTGGTTAACAGTTTGAAAAATATAAAAATTGTAATGGAGAACTTTTCACACAATATATTAAGGAACAGTTATTAAACTTATATTTCAACAATTGTTTGAATCAAGATTGAGTGAAACATATCATATTTTTTGAGTAGAATCAAAATTGAAGCCGACTCATGTGGATTATTTTGAGTCGATCCTATTTTTCTATAAAAAATCATAAAATAATCAGAAACCCACTTACCATGTACAGAAGATTTACATCTATCATAATAAAAACGGTGCAATTTCTACTCAGATCTAGTTTTTTTTTCTCTTAGATAAACTCAATTATTTCACATATTACTTTTATACACTGAAAGTAAAAGAACTCGTCATTCTTTGTTTGTCCTCAATTGCACCACTGACAAAATAGCAGACTGATTATGAAAGCACCCACTTTTGTTCATCAATTCACTTTGACTTAAAAAATGCCTAGAATATCTCAACTTCAATAATTTCAAATACCAATTCAATTGCACAATTTCACCTTCGTGATCATTTCATCATGCATTCTTCATGATGGCGTCACCTTTTCAATAAATCTCCTGAAATTATTAGATAATGGTAAAATATAAACAACTATCCGAGGATTATTTCTTTCACACTTGTTCGAACTACCTACATAATTTATCTATTGGATATTTAAATACCTTCACGTCATCCAAGATGAAACAACAACATTGTATCACTTCAGATTTATAATTAATGCCATGAATTAAAATCTTCGGCATGTTTTTCGATATCAAGTATTTTCTACATACAAGTTTGAGTGAAGCATTATGTGAATCTGGCATATATTGAAAAATTTACAGTTAACGAGTTTGGTGCAATATACTTGGGACATTTAATATAAAGAAAGTTTTTCAACCGATAAGAAACATCAGAAATTATCTGAAATTGTCTGGGAACGCCAAATAATAGAAGGGACCTCCTGTCTAGTCATAACGTAAGTAGGCTTTTCAAAAAATTAAGTAAATGTTCAAATTTCGCGGGCTACGTAGATTCGATTAGCGATATTTTTATTTTGTTGTTTCTACACCCGCCTCGAATATGTTCACTGTTTCAGATGTTTGAAGTCAGAAGTGTTTCATGTGTCCGGATGTTTTCTGCTATCGAAAAAATTTATCAAATTGTTTGTAAAAATGGGAATTAAGTACTCATAAACATTTGAAATGTTGACAGTGACATATCTCAAAAGGAACTACCTTGATGTGGACCGAATAGAAATTGATGAATAAATATTTTTTGGGAAAAATAAAAATTCACCTTTTTTTAACAGAGTAGTATATCGCATACCTTGCAATTATGAAAGTGTGTACATTGAAACTACGAAAAGATCTGTGAAGACAGAATTAACAGTGACTGAGCACCTCTCTAATAACGGAAGTCACTATATCAATATCAAGGAAAACTTGAGTTTAATAAAGGTTCACTGAAAACTTAAAAGTTAATATAAACTGGGGCTGCCTGTCCCTTCGAACTGCCTTATGCAGTACTGTTCCCGAGTATAGAGGATGTTCCCGAGTATATAGAGATACTCCGGGGAAAGGAAATATTAAGAGCAGATAGTTGTTGGTTTACAGATGGATCAAAAACACCTTTCGGTTGCGGTGCAGGTGTTTTCCGTCGCAGACACAGGATAGAGATATCAACCTGCCTAGGAACCTATGTGACTGTATTTCAAGCGGAAATTTACCCTATAGAATTGTGTGTGGAGAGATTGAAAGAATCCAGACCCAGGACAGAGATAGCTACCTGCCTCACACACAAGTCAATGAAAATATTCTCGGACAGTCAAGTGGCGTTGGAAGCTCTTGGCTCCTACCGAGCAACGTCTAAATTGGTAGCAAATTGCCAAAAACGACTCTCCTCGATATGAAGACTCAACAGATTGTCTCTGATCTGGATTCCTGGCCATACTCGCCAGGAAGGCGATGGTGCTGCTGACTCCTTTGCAAAGGAGGGTGCTGCAAGCAGCTTCATCGGACCAGAACCTGTCATTGGTATCGCTTTAGGTTTTGCCAAATAAAGATTGAACACCTGGATGGCAAGAAGATTTATGGACTTCTGGCAGAATCTTCCAGGATTGTCTTTACTCCAAGGCGTTTATTCACCCTTCATAACTTGATACCATACAGTTGTTGGACTACAGTAGGCATAAACTACGATGTCTAACAGTCTTGAAGGTCACTGTCATTTGACTCATGATATGCAGAGATTCGGACTGTCGGAAGACAGTGTGTGTCGCCTCTGTTTGGAAAATGATGAAACAGCCTGCCCCACTGGGGACAGAATCAGGTTTTCAGAGTTTGGCAGAGCCGTACTCTTACCATCTGCCCTGAAAGACCACTCACCATACAAACTAGTCGGCTTCGTTAAGAAGCACGGTTTATTTAGTCGAGTGTGAATAGGTGTGAGCCACAATAAACCCTTGCGGGTTGCGGTGGAGGGTCGAATAAACCCACTCACTTTGGACCTAACCTAGTTGTCCCAATTATATGGCATGACATTCGTCACAATCCAAATGGAATCAGTTACAAGGTAAAGGGGATTAATTTTCGCCACAAGAATTACCTAGCCTGAGTCATAAAGAGTGTTAATATTGCAGGGGGATGTAAAATTTTTATTATCAGTAAATCTAGTTTTTTTAAAAGTTGTCGTTGTATATTTTTTTGAATTTGAAAACATCCAAATTAAACACTGGTAGCAGTAGTGTGCTCTAATATTCAGTAATATGGTTTCTTCATACAGTTTTTGGGTCGAAAATCGTTTACTTTTCTTCAATATTATTTTTAATAAGGAATTCTGCATGGCTTGTAGAGGCTTCATCAAAGTATTAAAAGTTCCCTCCCATACAGTAATACAGTATCGTAATATACTTTCTGCCAGTGAGGTGTATACCATGAACAGGTTTTTCTGTGACAGAATGTCTCTGAACATATAAAACTTATACATTAGAAGCCTCAGTCTTTTCATGACATATACCCACTCACTTTGGACCTAACCTAACCTACTTGTCCCAATTATATGGCATGACATTCGTCACAATCCAAATGGAATCAGTTACAAGGTAATGGGGGTTAATTTTCGTCACAAGAATTAACTGACCCAAGTCATAAAGTGTGTTTATATTGTAGGGGGATGTATTTCAAACTCAATCGTCAGCGTGTAAATTTGAATCATTTGAAAGTCATCCAAAGATTTAAATATGACTGTGCGTGAAATTATTAGTGTACTCAACCTAAATTCAATGATGCATTAATGATGCTATAAAAGACCTGAGAAGAAAAAGATGAGTAGATTTTCACTAAAAAAAAACCTATGTGTTTCTGAAGATGCAAACCATTCGTGTCGGCGAAACGTCGAGAGACTCACTCTAAACGAACGACGGTCGATTATCCCGAAAAACGACAAATATTCGGCAATGAGTGCATTGTTGGGGTTTGAGATGAATCTGTTCATTTCTTCTTTTGCATAATTTAATTCTGTAACGTATAGTAAGTATATTTTG